ACTAAAATAGCCTCACAGGGGATTTTTTGCCGACAAGAATTGACAAATAAATTTTTACCTACAGAAAAATATATAGGAGGCAGCAAAAAGTGTGTGAATTTTGAATTGGAACACTATTTCTCAGTTTATGAGCATTCAGAAATAATAAAGTTTGATCGATTTTGAATGATTTTCAAAAGGAGGCCTTTTCAATGATTACAATAATGATTTTCAGTGATCACTACCAATGAGAATTGATTGTCATAGATAACATCAATATACCTCGATTTATAGATAGATATATATATGATAAGTATGTTATGTTCAGATATACAGTCTAGCCTCGGCTAAAGCAGATCTGAACATATATTCAAATCACGAATATCCTTATCAAATACTCATTGGTCTATATTTATTCCCGTTCAACAATACACTATAATGTATCTACCTTTATATTTGAATCTTCTGAGAATAAATATTATTATTATTATTATTATTATTATTATTATTATTATTATATAGGGTGTTCTATTCAAAATTCCTACACTTTTTGTTGCTTCCTGTATATCTTCTCATATAGTGAAAACGTATCTTGTGTTTTGAGGAAGAAAAAAAATCCCCTGTGAGTAGGTTCATTTTATTCTCCTTCTACCGTAAAGACTAAGAGTTACATTGTGTCACCCAGTATAATGTATTATATTTCTCTTCTCAAGTGTGTTTTGTCAATATAATGACTAATCATTTTAATCCTTATTAATTATCAAAAATAATGAATAAGTTCAATTTTTCCATATTTTGTTTTAGTTATTTTCTAGAAGTTGATATTGGTAGTGCTGTAGTGTAATGAATTTTTGAACGTAATAATTATATTATTATATTTAGCTCCCTTTATTTTTTATTACTCAGCAACAATGATGAATAAATGTTCCATGTTAGTTCTAAATTTCAATATTTTGTTTTGAATAACTTCAAGAAGTAAATCACTACCTAATGCTGTAGAGTAATGATTTTTTTGATATATTAACTATTATTACATTTGATGGATTCATTCTTAGTACCTACTTATCAAAAAGGATGAATAAATGTTCTGTGTTAGTTCTAAATCTCTTTCTTAATTTGCTTTCAATCATTTTCAAGAAGTGAATCAGTAAAGATGTAGTGTAAAGAATTTTTTATGTAATAACTGTTATAACATTTGCTCCCCTTCATTTTTAATACTCAGCAAAAATAATTCATCGATGATATATTTTATTTTGTAATGTTTATATTTTGTTTTAGTTATTTTCTAGAAGTGAATCATATATTTTCAATATAATAACAACTGTAAATATATTTGCTGGCTTCATTCTTAATACTCATCAAATGTTCTGTTACTGCTAAATTTTCATATTTTGTGTTAATTATTTTCTAGAGGAAGTGGATCAGTAAAGATGTAGTGTGAACAATTTTTTGATGTAATTTAACTTATAACATTATTTGCTACCCTTTATTTTCAATACATTAATGTTCTATGTTATTTTGCAATGTTCATATTTTCTTCTAATTATTTTCTAGAAGAGAATCAGTAAATATATAGTGATGTTTTTTTTGATATAATAATTATACAATTGCTCCCTTTTATTTCTAACATCAAAAATAATGAATAAATGATCTGTTAATTTTGAAATGTTTATATTTTGTTTTCATGACTTTCTAGGAGTGAAACAGTAATAATGAATTGTAATAAATTTGTGAATCAGGAATGCTGTCATGTATGAATTTTTCGAAAATACCTAATTATAAAATGTGCTTTCCTTTATGATTTTCACAGCAAAACTGATTAATAAATGAATGATATATGTTAGTTATAATTTGAATATTATGTTTAATGATCTAATGAAGTAATCACAAATTTATCAGAAATTGTTGCATATAAAATATAACATTATGTTACAGACTGGACTTTTCAAGCTTTCAAATAGTTTGATTTATATTGTAAGCATATGGCATTAGATAATACACCTGTAGTCATTAATAATCATTTTGATATATTCTTTATATTGCAATTTCTAGTAAATTATTAGGATAATATAATATATAAATAAGGGTAATCAGAGAGTATTGCATTGAGGATGAGTTATCCTTATTCAAATATTGAGAACTTGAGCAAAATTAAATGCTATGGTAGAAAAATTTAAAACTCAAAGAAATGTGAGTGGTGCCTTAATTTTGAACAGGAGTATTATCATTTTGATATCAGAAAATGATCTGACATTCTTTATGTATTCCTTGATATTATTCACTAATTTGAATTTATAATAATTAAATAACTCAGAATGGTCTTGATTTTTATTTTGCTTGTGAATAATCAAATGTGGCCTTTCGTCCAGATACAAAATAATGTGTTGATTATTCATATTAAAGAAAGCTTTGAACAATTTCTGTCCCAGAGGACTATTCTTTGATAATCCAAAGTACCTATTGTATATTTTCATAGATGACTATGTCACAGATTAACAAACCTTATTGTTAATCTGTGACTATATATGATATAGTTAATGAGTACAGAACAAAAATTAAATATTTTCAATATACTACTAGATAGGTGGTAATTGAAATAGTAAGCTTATACTGCTTGCCTCTAGAAACTAATGCCCTCTCTCAGCATAACTTATCAATGAGTCCAAGAAGAAATGTTCTGACTGTTGGAATTTTGGTATGGAAGTATACAAAATTGAGCAAAATCTTATGTAATAAGTACTTATTCAAAATATAATGAAAATTATTACTGAACTAATCCCTTTGTATAACATCAATGCCTGATATTAAAACTCTCATGCACACCATAATATCAAAATGTTCCTCCTAAACTGATGAACCTTTTCCACATACTTCAATAGTCATTATATCTTCCATTCCACTTACAGTAACAGCATCAAGAAGCCTCCAAATAATTTCATGCACACCAAGATCAGAATGTTCCTCCTAAACTGAACCTTTTCTACATACTTCAATAATAGTCATTAGCTTCGCTACCACTTTACAGTAACAGCATGGAAAATAAGCCTCCAGATTGAGAGTGTAGTTACATTTAAAAAAATAAATCATGTAGATTAGACCTACCACATATTACCTGAATCAGGTAGTGAGACTTTTCCTTCATTTCGGTAAATTTAAAGCCACAGAGTTGTATCGTTGAATGAGAGGCTCCTGGTAAAATTGTATTTTTATTTTTCATGTCGTCAATGGTGCTCAGTGGAGAATAAATACTAGATGAAAACTATTTATAACTCAATCATTCTGCTGTAGAAACCTTGTGTACATTTTGTTCCATTATTTCCTGCTTTCTTCAACATGATATCAATTTGATTTTTCTTCTGCATGCACATTATTCTCCTGATCAACATCAAATGAGAAATGTCAATGTCAACAACAATAATTTGAATAATTCCTTAAAATAATTTTCGCCGCCACTGTCGTTGGAGGCGAGATGTAAACAACGATTGTCATTTGTCATCTAAATGAAAAGACCTATTCAATCATTCCAAAATATGTACAATGGGAGTCATATCAGTAAAGAGAGAAATTCGGACTGGATTGACGAGCATCATAGAATTTGAATGCAATGCTTGTGATCGTAAATTGAGTTTCAAAACTGAGAATCCGATCCACAAAAAATCGATCATAAATGTCGGAGCAGTATGGGGTACAATGGCTTCAGGGGGAACTTATACACATATGAGCGAAATTCTCAGTTCCATGGATGTGCCAACTATGTCTTCAAGGTTATTTTATTCAATGGAAAATGAATTAGGAAAGGTGACTATCACTGATATCATTAATCACTATATTCCTACAGTGAGTGTAAAAAGTTTGCACCATATACCGGGTGACACAGACTCGTGGTCCTTGTCTTCTTTGTTTTTCAAGCTATATATCTGAAATTTGGAACATCTAATATGCTCACTAGAGTGCACTTTCAGAGATATTTGAATTTTTTTTCATCCTGTTTTTTTCCGGAAATGACATCAACTTTAGATTTTCAAAATGGAACACCCTGTATATTATTGCATTTTAGAAATCTTCACAATTTTCTGAATCCAATGATACTTCATAGTTGATAGTTCATCTATCTAGAGTGCCATGAACCGTCTGAAATCATATTCCAAATGATCAAAATATTGCTTACACTATCGCAATTTAATTTTAAAAAGTATTGTGGTTCGAAATACTTGAGAAAAAAGTAAACAAAATTGTTTTTTCCTCGATACTTCCTTTTTTTTTAATGGTACCATAATAGTACTCTGACGTCATTCGAAGCTACCATCGATGGGGTATCCATCCATACCTATCAACTCTTTCTGTGTATAATCAATACCAACACAATCATGGGGGTAAGAAATGATCAAGTATCTTCTCAGTTCAATAACAATAATTGATCAAGGTTGCTACGGGACAAAAATCACATTTTGACGTTTCTATAATCTGTGATCGAGTAAAAAACGTAACACATGAGTCCGTGTCACCCGGTATGTAGCATTTTTATTATCCATTTGTCAGAAAATTTTATTATTGATAAAAGTTTGTATCTTGCATAAAACTTCCATTAGTATCGTCAAATTTCTGAATTTTCAAACGTTATACGGGAGAGAACAAAGAATTGCTTTTCTTACCTGTAACAGTTTTGAAATTTGTAAAATTGAAGATACAAAAGTTTTCCGCAACGCACAAATTTCCGAACCATCATGCTTTGAAATATTCACAGGAATGGGAGTCGTCATTATTACGATCCATGAAATCTGCTGGGGAAATTGAGAAGCAGGCTGCAATAGACAATAATCAATTTTGTTCTGATGGTACTCCTTGGATTACGGTTTATGTTGATGGATCTTGGAGTAAACGATCATAAAAATTTTGTATTCACGATTTTTTTAAGACATTCGATATTATAACCATTGTACCTTTATACTCTCCATATAACCATTGTACCTTTATACTTTCAATAATTGTTACACAAACATATGATGTTATTCTATATTCCAGGTGCTTTAGATCTGCTTGTAAGAAAGGCTCATTTATTAATAGAAAATGAGAATAATAATCGTGCTGAAAGACTGATGAATATCGTGGCCAGGTTCAATCAAGGAAAAAGATTGAATTTTATTCAGAGGGGTTCCTATCAAAGACGTGTACATTTATCTGGATTACGACATAATAAACAATTCAAATGGCATTCTGATCCTTATAAGAATTATATGGGCTGCAGTCCTGGTCAACATTTCAAAAAATTCATTGCTCGAAATTGCCGGAATCAAGAAATGAAATGTCGCAAGAGATTATTATCAACGGATGACAATGATAATGGCAAACAAAAAAAATCTTCAGACACAAAGCGGAAAAGCGGAAAAATAAATACCTCAGTGAATACAGACTATGGACCTCACGCAGATCAGCAGATGATGGACAACAAATTACTGGCCGAAGAAGTAGACGTAATTATGAAAAGATTACAGGTGATATTTCTGATGTTCAAAGATACCAATATACTGATCAATCTTAAAACTCTCTCGAAAACTTTGTATTCATAAATTCATATACAAAATAAGATAATGCTGTCTCAACTACCTATAAGGGCGAGATTATGTTCATATCTCTCATTTTAGGTTACTGAACAAGAAAGGGATCGCATCCAAACTGAATCAGTGGGGCAATTCGGAAATATCATTTTCGAAAATGAGCGGAAACTGAGGTTGACAGCATCATTATTCGGTAAAGTGATCAAGCGAAGACCGTACACGTCATGCCACAATATGGTGAAGGAATGTTTGAAATCAAATCATTTCTGGTCAGAAGCTACTGATTATGGAATAGCAAAAGAGAAAGTTGCAATTGGCATTTTCGAGCGAGTTAAGAATTTGCAAGTTCAGGATTCTGGTTTTTGGGTCGATCTCCAATATGGATTTTTGGGTGCTTCTCCTGATGGTATGTATTACTAGGTAGAACACGACCTCATTGACATAGTTCATTTTTAATATCTTACTTTTCACATCTTTTTCAGGAATTGTTTTGGGAGAAGAGTCCTTAGTGGAAGTGAAATGTATTTATTCAGCTTCCAAATTAGAATTAAAAACCCAAACGATAGATGAAGTGTTAAACATAATGAAAGGTAGAATATGTTTAGAAAGACATGATAATCAAATACGATTGAAACGGAATCACAACTATTATTATCAAGTGAGTTTGCTGTTCTAATACTGGTGTACTAAAGGCATGTAGTATATTATTTGATTATTTATTGATCATTGATTATTACTACAGATCCAAGGACAACTGAACATAGCACAAGCATCGAAATGTTATTTCATTGTTTATATCAACGATGCTATCGATCTATTTGTGGAAGAGATAGAAAAAGATGCCAAGTTTTGGGAAGAAAAAATGTGTCCAATATTGATTCAATTTTATAAGGAGTGCATTGCCCCCGAAATTGTGATGGATAATTTAGGCAAAGGTAACAAATGCATAGATCCCCCCTTTATTACTGAAGCCATGAAATTGCAAGATGCAAAAAGGAAGAAGGTATCTAATGTTGTGAAGCCGCGAGTGGTGGATACTGAGATGAAAGAAAATGTTGATATATTGAGGCATGTTATGGTTCCTGGCAATTTAGTTACTAAATTTCAAGACATAGCTGAAGAAAATACATCCTCCAATGTTGAATCTTGTGGCATCTTAACTGGAATATTACAGAACAATGAACTGAAAATCACCCATTTGATTCTACCAAAGCAGACAGGAACTTCTGACTCATGTACGGCATCACATGAGGAAGAAGTACTGGAGTATCAGGAGCAACACAATTTAATAACTGTTGGATGGATTCATACTCATCCCACACAAAATGCATTCCTTTCAAGTGTAGATCTGCATACTCATTGTGCCTATCAACTTTTGATGCCAGAGGCCATTGCAATTGTTTGTGCACCGAAATTCAGTCAGACTGAATATTTTCACCTAACTCCTGATGGCATTAAATTTATAAGCAGATGTGAAAAATCTGGTTTTCATTTCCACTCAACTGAACTTACTCTTTTCAAACTGGCCGATCATGTTAAAATAGACGACGAAGCACTTATAAATATTATTGACCTTCGAAAACATTGATAATTTCATTATATGTCAGTTCAGAACTATAATAATGGAGGTATGTAATTATTTTTTTTTCTGTATTACTTAATAGTTATGCATGCTCGCAGCATTAGTTTTTCGTTCTGAAACTAAACATTATCATGGGGAAACCAATTAAGTCAACCTTTTTCAGTGGTTCGAAAATATGTTATTGAAGAACCTGGAGAAACCCGCCACCCTTATTGTAATGGATAATGCAAGTTACCACAGCATAGCGTCAAATAAAGTCTACATCGCAAGAATTACAAAAATGGCTCATCAACAATAATATTCTATTTGGCGATTGTTAACAATGAAGGTTTTTGCAATCAGTAAGATTTTTTTATGATGGATATAATGCTTACTTTTTTTAATTTCTAGGAAGAACGCATCACTTGCGCATAGTTGCATTAAAACTTGAAGGGATGGAATAATTACTTTAATGAATTCCTATATACGGATAATAGTGAATAAGATCGTTAGGGATCTCACAACTCCAACTGGCTCAAATTCTCAAACAACATGACGTCAGGCAGAAGCCTTTACTATCACCTACAGTCTTGAGCAACTGATGAATGAGCTCACTCGGATCCCTGATATCAACAATAATTATGCCGATACGCTCGACCTATTCCTCACTAACAATACGGAACCCTATGAAGTGGAAGTCCGTGCACCACTAGGAAACTCAGACCACATACTTATCTCCACGATATGTCCCTATAGCACTCCGCGAAGCACTCCAACACCCCCACGCACTGTTTGGCATTACAATTCAGGCGACTGGGATGGTCTTCGCATGTTTTTTTCTGATTTTCCTTGTCGAAGAATGTGTTTTGAACCAGGAGATCCTATGCAATGTGCCGAAGAGATTCCGAAGATTATCATGCTGGGAATGAAAACTTATTCAATAAAACCTGTCGTCACTAGAACCGTCTAGAGTCGTCGCTAGAAGCATCTAGAGTCGTCGCTTTGAAGCAAGCAGCATACCGTTGTTGGAGTAGGAACCCATGCCCGGAAACTAGAGCTGAATATGTCGAAGCCAGGAATACATCCAATCAAACGATAGTTGCGTCTAAAGAAGCATACAACTCCAAGATAAGATCAAAGTTCTTCGAGTGCCCAATTGGTTCCCGTTCGTTTTGGACCTTCACCATGGCAATTGGGAGAAACTTCACTACCAGCTCATTCACTCCCTTCACAAAGGATGATAGTACATTGACTACAACACCTTTGCCAAAATGTTTGCAGACAATTCTACTTTGGATACACGATACCAAGATCTTCTCCATATCGCTA